TGTTCTTTCTTGTATAATTTCAGTAAGTTTGTACAATTTAAAAAGTAACATTAATATTAATTGCCCAATACTAAATTCGTATGACCCTGAAATTACATTCCCAAAAGTTATCACATGATTGATATTGATTTAATAAGTCAAGAATGTCCTATTTCTTAGCAGCAGAAATTTTTATATCCATAAACGTACTGCCTTTAATAAGATATGTTAATAACATAAGTTTNTGTTCTTTCTTGTATAATTTCAGTAAGTTTGTACAATTTAAAAAGTAACATTAATATTAATTGCCCAATACTAAATTCGTATGACCCTGAAATTACATTCCCAAAAGTTATCACATGATTGATATTGATTTAATAAGTCAAGAATGTCCTATTTCTTAGCAGCAGAAATTTTTATATCCATAAACGTACTGCCTTTAATAAGATATGTTAATAACATAAGTTTAACGTTCGCTACTAAGAAAACAAATACAATTAAAATTTCTTAAAGTTACGGTAACTGGTTTAACAGACTAGTTGAAAAATTGTATGAAAATTTGAAAATTTGGCAATCGTCTTTTCTTTTTAAAATAGTAGTAAATTATCACAGAATACATTTTTTTACAATTCATCGAGTAACTATCAATAGTAGTACTTCATCAATGATGTCAAGAATTATAGAAAAATGTTCTGCGTATAACGTACACACTTTGAGACATTATTTACATTTGTTTAAATCATTAAGGATTTTGTTCTATATCTTTTTCTGTAAATTACTCTTATCAGTAAAAAGAAAGAAAGCAAGTACTGATTAGATCGTGGCTGTTTCAGACTTTGCTAAGTCTACACAAACCGTATGACTGATAGTAGAAACGTGTGCCGTTCCACTATTATCGGAACTAATAATGTTCAAGGATGAAATTTTGGCACGTTGATATGCTACCACAGTGTTCAAACTTAAAAACCTGCAAATCATTTTGACAATAAATTGATTTTAATTAACGGTGAACATTTTAACTAACAATTATTCTTAACTTACCTTATGCAGACATACATCACCAACAATGCAGTACCAGCTGCGAACATTCTAATAATAGGGCCCTCAACTAATTGAATGAGCGTCCAAGCGGCAGCTGAAGATCCACACATTGTTGTAACAATGACAATAGTTTGCAAACAGTGTCGTGATGTGATTCCATTTTGCCAATCCAATCTATTCGCATGTTCAACATTATACTGCGCGCCACACACTTTGCATGTCAGACTATCAACGTTTACAGAACTCTGAAATATGTATAAATATAAGAACTTAAGTAATCTAACAAATATTCAAAATTTAAACAATATCTTACCTCAACTAGCCATCGACGTAAGCAGTTATGGTGAACTGCACTTACATCACCTCGACATTGGCAAGGTTGTATTAGTGGGCCAGCATCTTGTCTCTCACTATCGTAACAAATCCAACAATCTTTACTACTGATTGATGTTCCGTCTGAAAATAGTGCAGCATCTTGCTCTCCACTTTTGTCTTGTAATTCGATTTCTTTTACATATTTAGATTGATCTAATCTTTTAAATATACGCTTCGGGTTTAATATCCATAGTTGTTCCGGACTAAAATGTAAAGAAATAATTGTGACAGCTATAAAGTTTTCAAGTAACTCTATCATGAAGATTATATCGAAGATTTCATTTGTAAGAAATGTACCTGAAGCAATTCCATAACACACATGGAAACCACAATATTACTCCAACTTCAATAACGCGGAAAACAACGTCATGCCAATTCCTACTGTATAAAGGAACTCTATAATAAAAACAAAATTAATTAAGACCAAATGCTGTATACTGTCCATACACATATAGTTTTTCCAGACTCTTACTTAGTCTTCCAAAATTCACTGAAGGTTTCACTACACAAAAATCCAACTATGATGAAAAGCATAAATGCTTGTGATAATAATCCAACACGAGATTGATGCAATTGAGAAATGTTTATCTGTTCCTGCACTTGCAATGCTTGTGATGTGCTAGGTGTGGGTTCAAATAATTTTGCAGTAACTTGCTCTTCAGGATTAACTTTTAAATCGGGAACTGTACGTTTATTTGCAACTCTAGTTTCCCGATAGTCATTCAAAAATCCACCTCGGATCTAGAACAAAAAATTGTTTTAATATATACAACATATTAAGAAATATATTTCATTATTTTCTCAACTAACCTTAAAGAAAACCTCTACTCCATAAATTAAGAAAAAGATGACAACAATAAACAAAAGTACTGCATAACATCCATTAAATATATGGGTGTAGAAGCTCTGAAACAAATAAAATTAAATATACATTTAAATATATTAATAATAATACCTAGTTATTTTTAACCAACAGAAAATGTTAATAACTAAATCTTTAAAGTATGTTTGCACATAATTTACCTGATCCTCTTCTGAATATATTTGAGCAGTAATAAATTCTGCTAATAGCAAAGAATATGTTAGTACATTAAATACTACAAAACCCATAAATGATTTCGAAAGAAATTGTGGCTTGTCCCATGACATATCTCTCAAATGAAATACTTCAGCCCAGAAACAAACAATTAACGATGAACCGCTTAAAACAAGTGGATAATATGCAGACAATAAACTCCTAGACCATCCTTCTTTGAATGCATTCTGTAAAGATATTATAAGAAGATATTGTAAAGATATGAAAAATATTTTACAAGATTTTACTTACAGGAGATGTGAAATATGCTCCTCGAATTAACGAAGCCAAAAAGACAATAAAATATAAAACTTTTTGCGTGGTGACTCTACATGCTCTGAGAAAAGATGGTGCTTTCATTTTTTGCCATTCGGCAACAATACACATTATAAGTTGTATCAGACAAATAAATGCCAACATAAAAAATATAGTTGCAAATGCAACATAGTAACTTAAATTTGGAACATGACACTCCAGTCCATCAAACTGAATCTGTAAGTGTGAAATTTTGATATAAAGACAAACCAATTATATTTAAAAATTTTTTCTTATTATCATAAAAATTACCTCGCACAAGCAAGTGCCATTATGACATTCGCCATGTCCAGAACAATTTTCGTTACCACACGTGTCATTCCAAGCCATCATTCCAAATTTGACCAATAAAGATAATGGATTTTGTGTACTTAATGCAATCATTTGTTCCATGATTGCTATGTATAAAGCTGACTGTTTTTACACAGTCGCCAAAATCTATAAAATATAATAAATGCTAAAATAATTGACATATATGAGAGAAACGATTAATAGAATAATGGTATATATATTGGTTTTAGTATTTTTATAAAAATTCTTACTATATCATTTTTAATCGCAATCAATGAAACACAGCAAATATTATTCTATGTATTAATTTTAACACAAAATTGTATACTGTTACTAACACACACCTTTGAATACTACATATTTCACAATAATAAAATTCTAAAATAATAGCAAAGACAAAACAGAATTAGGTACAACATTAATATGATTATACAAAAGTTACTGTAGAATCTGCAGCACACAAAAAACAGAAAGCAAAAAATTATATTTACATACCAAAAAATTAATTCATATGTAATATTTGCAAACAATAAT